TTTAACCTAGACATCGTGTTTTAGTTTTCATATTTTAAGTTTTCTTGATTAAAACTCTTTTTATTATGTATCATTGTCGGAACACTCGTTTAACATGTATTTGGCTACTAATAGCTCCGCATGATACACGAACGACAATATATTTTTTGAAGTTGAGAACATGTTGAATGTAATATTAATATTTACCCTGGTTTGTACTAGAGCTGAGCTGGATTTTTTAACGCGCTAGTTTACAAGGTAAACAGTCCGCAGAAAGACATGTCACCCTCCCAGACACATTATTCCGACTCCGTACCGACCACTCTTTTCTCTTACTCCTTAATGCCGCGTGCTTTTCGAAGAAGCAGCAAATATCGATTTCAAAGTCTTTGTTTTGACCCTGCCGGGGTTTGAACCTGCGACCTCCAGCACACGAGGCGAACACACTACCACGAGACCACCTCGGTCTTCAAAATTAGAATAGCAATCAAAATAGTTTTGTTACAATGAAAAAATAAGTAATCTAAAGAATATAAAAAAATTTAAGTTAATGAGCCGATTCCACTTGAGATGAAAGAATACGTGCAAATTGTGTAATTTATTTATTACAGCAAAGGCAAATGAAAATTGCTATTAATATATAACCTAACATAATACATATTTTTACTGTTGTTTTTTTTATCCCGAGGTAACACTGGGGTATGCATGTATATAATGGTCCAGTTACCCCTTATGAAGGCTATATGTTCGACCCCAAATCCCTTTTGAATTAAGAAGAAAAGAATGTCAAGCTCATAAAAAAGGCTTTTGATGCAGCATCAATCGTTGTACAGCTAGTTTGTGATGTTGGGACTTAAAATATCAACTTATCAAATTATCCATTTTTTCTCTAAATATACTTGTTATTATTAATAAATTTCGATCAGTATATAATGGCACGACTAGCTAGAACATCAGTAAAGCAAGGTATCCTGGTACTTGATTGATCAAGAAGAACATTTGAAATTCCTGGTGAAATCGATCAGAAATTATTATTTGCCGTACACCTTTATAACACTTAGCCTCTGTACTCATACAAAACATAGCTACTATTTTAAAACTTTGTTGTATGTATCGTTACGAATAGAATTTTCGATTTACAAAAAATGAATTTTCGCACAAAAGAAACACTTTTAAATATATCAAGATTCTGAATATTAATTATAGTTCATACTGTTTTGAATTATTTAAATAACATATCATGTAAAATACTGTCCATAGTTAAAACGAGTATTTTGATAAATGTTTCGCACGATTAAAAAATTATGAATTTAAATAAACAAAATCTACATAACTAGAAACATATATATTTAGCTTGGACACCTTATACTAATACGAATGATATATATCTTAAAAATAAAGTAATCTAAAGAATAAATAAGAAGTCAATGATGGTATTTATCTTCGATGAATAAGTATATCGCTATTTAGCCAATAGTTTTCAATTTTTAAAGTGAAATAGTATAAAGGTAGGGTAGATATAGGATTGAGAAGTGAATTGCATTTTAAATAAATAGATACATATTTTTTCGTATATCGAAAGTTTGGATAACAAAAGTAGCCCATTGGCACACGCTAAACGATAAAATGGTTGACTAGCGATTGTAGAAATTTTCGAATAGATAAAGCGGTGTATTTCTGTTCATTATAGGATCATGAAAGAGAGGCTAAAGAAACCAAAGGGACATTCAAACTCATAAGTCGAAAATAAACTGATAACACCATGGCCAAAAACGAAAAAAGTAATAAACAACAGTATACAAAATACAACATAAAAAACCAAACACTGGGAACCCCATTAAAACCAGGTGTGATTTCAGGTGCTCCGGAAGGGTACGCCGATCCTGTTCCAGATGTGGCACCCGTCGTGTTGCTCATGTAAGTACAAACCCGGTGATAAATCGGTAGGTAACATTCGAGGAAAAGGGGACGGGATTTTGGTTACGATCATTAGAACATGTCCGTCGTCATCTTTGAAACAGATATTCCATCAAGGTCAACCAACCCGTGATGGCGTCCGTAAAATTTTCGAAGGGATAATTTGATCTTCACCACTTGGAACTCTTGGTTTAAAAGCTTCCTTGTGAGCAGCAACCCTTTATCAAGGACATCATCATAGGAAATGCAAGCTCTGGAATATCGTATCAACTGGGAGATATTTACACCATATGCAGGCGCTGCTGGAATGTTGCTACATAGAAATGAAAAGTTCACAATTGGGAAGCTGAGATCATCTCTTTTGTCGTTAACGTTTCCATGGAACAACAAACAACCATTTCATTATTTGCACGCACCAATCAAACATGATTCCTTGGTACTTCCCGTACATTGTTTGATAATATGTTTTATCCTTTCACACGTGGCTTACTCGTTACACACATGTACATGTATGTTACAGGTGCCCAATAATGTATAACAGCATTAAGTTTTACATGACATTCGACACATTGAATTTTACTCTATTATTTAGTCTGTGACTTTTCTTATAAACACAATGAACAAAAGAAGATTAGGTGATAGATTAGTATTAATGTGAAGCGGTTAAATAAATTTGTTAAATAATCAAATAATCTTCCCTAAGCTTTGTCAGGTATAAATGTGTAAACAACAGCTGTGTTTTACTTTCTATTTTCCTGACCTTCTTGCTTACTAAAACTATTTACCAAAATCAAAGAGAAAAAAAAAAAAAACCCAAAACAAATACAAAACAAAACTATTGCTATATTTTTTTTTCAGCTTTTTATCAAAAGATTCGGATGTCAATTTATTGATGAAATCTTCAATTATCCGGTATGAATTTTTGACAATTACGATAAACGAGAGTTGATTGTTTACCGTCAAATCTTATAAATCCAATAAGAAGATTTAATCATGTTAAAAAAACAAAAACTACAGGGAATCCCAAGCGAGATCACGTGAGTCGACAAAGTAAGCATCTCCTGCTATACATGCATCACCCGTCATACGAATTCACACTCAGTCAAAATATCACAATAGTACACAATCAGTAAATCTATATAGCAGACGACTATTCTAGTATCTAAAGAACTGAGACCGGGAAAACATGTCGTTTGTGAGTAGTACGGAATCGGTCAACCAATAAAAACCGGGAAAAATCGTTTTGTGAAAGATCGTTTAATGTGAGAATAATAACAACAAAACAGATCTATTTATAGTTTTTCGAAAATTAGTTGTGTGTTCTGTTTGCAATTGTTTATTTTAACTGCTTCTTTGTGATTCACATTCTCACGACATAGGCGTAACAATCTTTTAACTATAAAGGTTGAAACTGGGACACTTATAATGAATTTATATTGTATTTAGTGATATGAAGTGTGTTAATTGACACTCGCGTGTATTTAACAGCAGAAAAAAAGGTGTTAAAAATAGATTCTTTATAAATCATTTTTAATGAGACACACTATTTTCTTCGTCATGTAAATGTTATTTAAATATCCTACTAAATTTCTTGTGCATTTGAACCTTAAGTTATTCTGTCCTTACTGACATTTTGTCGAACATGCACCTTTCAACAAAACTTTTGAATTATTGATTTAACTACATTCTTCTTCATTCAATACACTCATTACATAATTTAAAGTATTTAAATCACAGCTCATTACGCTTATTAACTTTTTATAAACACGATCTTTGACTTAATGTGCTTTCTTAACATTAAGTAAGTGAACCAAGCGTAAGGGAGGACGCTCAAACAGTTTTCCTCATAGTCAGTATTTAGTTCTTTCTTCGAAAATGTCTTCTCCAAGGCCTGGCCTAATTCTCTAAAAAATCCGAAAGCATTCACATATATTGAAAAAATCAACTTAACACAAAGGATCACTGCTCTACATTCAACGTCAACCAAAAATCCCATTAACTCCTATACATTAGAGAGAACAGATTGACATTTTGAACTCCGGTGAATCAATTTGCACGTTAAAATCATTACACTCAGAAAAATGACATATATTTCAAGATTCATTGATTTGTTGCTTAACGTTCAGTGACAAATATTTTATGAATATTTGGGACGAAAACACATAAAAAAATGAAAACGAAAAGGAAGGTTCTGCCAGGTATGTCGACCGGAATGAAAAGCGGGAAATAAGACTACCACTGGAAATTGAGGGTATGTAGGATAGGTGTATTCATTTCGCATTGCAACATGCCGCATACTGACCCCTCATAGGGTTGTTACAAACTCGTTACAAAGGTACTTTAATGTGTGGTATTCACCATGTACAAGGCATCGGATTTAACGTCCACATTCAGAATGGACGTAGCTTTATATTCATACATCCTGCACAACCTAACGGACGACCCACATCATAAAAGAGTTTTACTGCCTGACGGGAGAAGTCCAGGTATAAATATATTTCTATACACCAGTAAACACTTAGAGAACAAAAATGTCTGGACAAACTTGCTTCTTCACTTCACGTCAATAATAATTTTCAAAAGTTCTTACACATCAATGCAGGCGAGCCTCATAACTGCGTCTTAGTTTCATATAACAAAAAAAAGTATTACATGTATATAGTCACAACACAGTTTTCCAATTAAAATTTCTGTAGTAAATGTCGGGTCTGTGTCACTGTGAGGGTAATAATCAAATTAAAACGTCGCCGTTACGTATAAAAGTCGTAGAGATGAAGATTAGATATAAAAAAAAAAATAACACTAGTGTCTGGATAATATTAGCGCCCATTCTTGTATAGAACACTTCTGCATAAAAACAGAATGATCTGGTATCTGAATTATATATGTGATGATAGGTGGTAACTCTAAAAAACAAATAAGCGTTTTGTCTATACTTCACGCAACTAACGAGGCTTAATACATATATTGTGATACAAACCCAAATGATCGAATAGTCTCAATGAAACTACAAAGTGTTTTGCATTCAAACGATGGTCTATCAGCCAAAAAGTAATATCGAGTCAATGTAATTGATCAGTCCAACTTTAACATGCTTTACTTACCACATTGTTCCTGTAGAAATCCTTTATGAATAGGTCCAATTCATATCCGAATACAAGAGGAGAACGTTAACTGCAGTGAAATTGCGACTGCATGTTATTTAGGTTAAAAATAAAATGAAATGTGTAGACGGTCATAAATTCTTATTCTATTATCCCAAGTCTTACTGGTTCAAGCATATTGTTTAATTTTTGTGACATAATTATAACAAAGTTCAAATCCGATTATTAAAGTGTGTATTACCCAGGAACAATCAGGGCATGCGTAATTCATGACATATTCTGCGTGTCGACTTTGAAAAAAGATTACATATATTAAAAGCGAGTGGAAAAATCATCATCTTTTTTTCTTATTTCTATAGATTTTCCATGATAACGAATTAAGTATACATAGTAGAAGAATGCTACAACGGCGAGGTTTATTTATTTAATGTTACATAAAATCTGCTATTGATATCTTTTCTTAAGATTTTTTCCGACTGAGTTAATCGTTTTCAAATTCAATTTCAGTCTACGCCTACATTTACTGGTAATATCTTGTAAATATTTGTGCATACATGTAGGACAATCTGGCATATAATTTCACAAAACCTTGACAGTTGATTATAATAGATTGCAGTTTTTTTAACAATTTAAATTACACTTGATCAATGATTAGCATGCTCTCTTTTATAAAGTTGGGGATTAACTAAACGATTTTCCATCTCTTATTCATCTTAACTGTACTAGTATATTCTTTACCTTTATTTTGATAAGAATAGAAACCATCGTGTTGACTTACAGTCATGAAGGATTAAAGGTCTACAGTCTCATTAAAAACGGAAGCACGTATTAACTATTAAAGCTACTGAAAATGCTAAACGTTCAAGGGGAACTTACAGCTTCAAGTAAGCTTACACCGGAAGCGACTATATTTTTATATACTCTGCCTTCTCAATCAGTATATGATGCTTGATATCACATTATTCTTTTTGGCATTTAATATAATACAAAACCAAGGACAACTGAACATTTTTAAAAATTGAGAATGGAAATGGGGAATGTGTTAAAGAGACAACAGCCCGACCATAGAGCAGACAACAGCTGAAGGCCACCAATGGGTCCTCAATGCAGCGAGAAACTCCCGCACCCGGAGGCGTCCTTCAGCTGACCCCTAAACAAATAAGTATACTAGTTCATTGATAATGGACGTCATACTAAACTCCAAATTATACACAGGAAACTAAAATTAAAAATGATACAAGACTAACAAAGGCCAGAGGCTCCTGACTTGGGACAGGCGCAAAAATGCGGCGGGGTTAAACATGTTTTTTGAGATCTCAACTATCCCCCTATACCTCTAGCCAATGTAGAAAAATCAAACGCACAACAGTACATAAGAAAAGCGAAATGCGAAAAGCGAAAAGTGCAGACAACGGAGGTATTTCATGGTACATGTACAACCAATTAACGTGGAATAATTCAGTCGTTATATTCCGCTGATCTACGATTACTACATTAAAGTAAGAAGGAGAGATCGATTACGGGGAGGGACTGAATTATTCGGGTTAACAACCATTTGTTCAGGTATTCGCGTGACAATAAAAGGACACAAATGACAGCAGCACAATCATACAAAAATCATGAGACATTTACAAATTTTCCTCAAGTCTTCAAAAATCTTTCCATAGTCTTCAAAAATAGACTGGCAACTGTGCTTAAAATAAGTCTTGGTTTAAACAGTAACTATCACTATCAATATTTTTTTTTCATATTTTAAATCAAGGTGTTAAAATTGAAATAATAGAATGATCTTTTTTCTCTCTTATTCCTACTTATCATAACATTCATTGTGCAAAGTGTAATCTTTTACATGTCTTAAAGATGCCGTGATATTCTAAATTGGGAAAGAGCGCTACCGATGAGTTGTGTTGACGACAAGCAAATCTGAAGTACAAATGCATAAAACCTGGTATTTTTGATGATTTTGTTCTTAGTTCAGATTCGAGCAAGCACTGTTGATTTTAAGTCAAACTATAGGATGAACATTTTCTGTTAAAGATTTACATTAGGAATTTATATAGTGTCTAACTTAGTTTCTATTTACTGCAGAGTCTGGTTGGTGATCACCAGTACAAGGTAAGGCATTAGTTTTCAATAAATTTTAGAATCATTTTTCAAGGGTTAATATTTCGTTGTGTGAATAAAAAGGGATTATCAAGATTTTATGATTTTCTATTGACAGTCAAACATTGGGCTTTTTAACTTTTTTGATTCGAGCGTCACTGACGAGTCTTTTGTAGACGAATCACGCGTCTGGCGAACCAAATTACAATCGTGGTATCTATGATGAGTTTATTGCTATTCATTTAAAAATTGCACGCGCTTCTTTAACTTACGAAACTTTTAAGACAGTTGATCTATAATTGTTAAAAGATAAATACAAAATGAACAAATAGAATCAATGAATCATGATAATGTAGTTTATTTGCATGACTGTCTTTAATGAAGAACGCTTATACTTGATTTTCCAAAGTAAACTTTCGACTGGTTTTATGACAGTTCCGACCTATTCTATGACCAAAGACAAGTAAACATTAAAAACATTAAAATTTTTAAGAGATTTGGCCTTAAGACTGCTTTTGAGACTGTCGAAAAGGTTAACTTTTGGCATGCCCGCTACTGAAGTTGGCTCGGGATAACATTAGGAGACAACCATTAGATTTTTAGGGGAAGAGGATTTTGAAAATGAATATCCCGACTTAGCAAGAGCTGAAAATATATAACCTTGCATAAGGCAGGATGAAAAGGAATATTCCACACAAAAAGCAGGACACAGCTGTGTACAAAAGTGAAAATAACCATGCGTAGCAACAGATGAAAATGAATGGCCAATCCGCGAAAAATCCTCCTCCCTCCCCCACATCCCCGCATAATATGAAATAATCGTCCCTTTGTAAATTATTCAGCTGAGACACTTAATTTTTGCATCAAAATTTGCACATTTGTTACCTGCATGTATAGGGAGTGTATATTTGAAAAATCAATATTAAATAAGTAAAAAGTGGTCCTTTTGTTCAGTTGAATTTATTTTGTTTCTAAAGTCTAGTGTCAAGATATAAAAAATGACAGAGTAAGCATATAGTTAAATCGACTGGCTAGTGCTGTTTGTTATTTATAATGCCTTTGGATATATGCTTATGGTACCCGGCTGTACCCATTTAGACGTTTCTTTTTAAACACTGACCAATATTTCATTTTCTTCTATTTATTTCACGTTTGTTTCGTCATCTACGTCAGCCGGTTCTTTATTCTGTTATCTTTTAAATTTGTTTTCTCCGAGACAATTACGCCGTTCTGAACAACATTTATTAACCTTTTGGATGTACATGTAATTCTTTGTTTGTTCATTTAAAAATAGTTTCTTTTCCTAGTCGAAATCAATTTCTTGTCTTACTTTACATGTAAGAATAAGAAGATGTGGTATGATTGCCAATGAGATAACTCTCCACAAGAGACCAAATGACACAGAAGTTAACAACTATAGGTCACCGTACGGCCGTTTTATATATTTTTTTTTAGATACATAGGGACATATTTCAACTTGAGTGGTACTTTTAAAAACAATCATAAGCTATAAGTGAAAATGAATTTCACTAGGGTCAGCAGAAATCATAGTATTTTAAAGCCTTAATATATTATGTGTTCATCCCATGTAGAAAACTCTAAACAGTCAGACGGGAACTACCATTTGTGAAATTATTTCATTGCAAAGGTAAATGACCTTAATATGAACTTGACATCATATTTTTGACCTTGATGAACAAAAAACAAGAGGAGATTTCAATTACTAAGATAGACATGTTCAACGACTGACGTACCAAAATATAAGCCTAGTAGGTTTGACGAGTTTTTTACTGACACTAGTGAGATGCAACATACCGACTTTGTGACACCGGGAATCTGCGATGTTACACGTCTGGCGTACACACTTGTAGCCTGGTATCTTTGACGAGTTTTTTACTGACACTAGTGAGATGCAACATACCGACTTTGTGACACCGGGAATATGCGATGTTACACGTCTGGCGTACACACTTGTAGTCTAGAATGTTTGATAAGTTTTTTACTGACACTAGTGAGATGCAACATACCGACTATGTGACACCGGGAATCTGCGATGTTACACAAACGTGTCTGGCGTACACACTTGTAGCCTGGTATCTTTGATGAGTTTTGTTTTGCATACAAGTTATAAGATGTCGCAGTTATAATTATTTAAAAATACCATACAGTGAAATAATGCAATTCCCGTAGCTGTTTTAAAGGAGTAGGTTTACGAAGGGCTAACAATGTCCCTAAAATTTTAATGTTTTTATCTTAAATCAGGTCAAAATTATACAAATTTCACAAATAAATAGTTTTGATATTACTAATAATACAAAATAACTTCTTTTTGACGCCCCACATTATAAATTACGAAGTTATGACCTTTGATTATGCATTATATGCTTTATTTGTGATGTTTGGTCAGTTTTGGTCTATTTTCCAATAATTTATAACAGTTCTCAGCATGATTTACTTTGCCCCCAATCCTTGATTCAGAAAAAGTGTTTGCCCAGGAATTCAATAATAAAATTTGCACGTAATGGTTACAAAACATTTTGGGATCGTAAATTGCGGCCAAGATTTTTCTAAAGCTTTCAGGTCCGCAAAATGCAACAAATTATTGTGTTTAGAAATAATTTCCAAAATGTGCTGACTTAAGAGCCTTTAATGTACTATAATGAAGAGATTTGTTTTACCTAGCATTAAGGCTGAACTATATTTATTAATTTCTGTGTCTTTGGTCTCTTGTGGAGAGTTGTCTCATTGGCAATCATACCACATCTTCTTATTCTTATATTTTGAAGTTAATCCATTTAAAGACTCCATAATGGCATTTTCTTTATGTTTTATGATAAAGTTGAAATTCAAGACCATCAATTTGCGTTTGTCAAAATGAAATACTCACCAATAATAATAATATTAAATTGTACCCGTATGTGTAGCAAATTATTTAAATTATCATATAACTTAATTATATCACTGCCTTATCATTTATTCTATAATGAAGGATTATTAAAATTAGGTGTGCTTAACATATCTATATAACCATAAATGTTCATACAAATGTAAAATGATTTGCAATGTTATTTTGTAATGTTAGTTAATGTTATGAAAATTGACAAATTCTATATTTTGTTTAAAGAAAGATTCACACCTTGCATTCCTGCTCTTTTTGTGTAAATGATACACCACTGTCTATGGGAGATACATATATTTTAAAACGGTGTTTTAAGATATGACAATGTAGAAAAAAGAGAGAAGAATATACCAAAGGAACAATAAAAAATCATTCGTCGAAGAAAAACAAACAACGTTAACCATGGCAACAAAAACAACAAAAAATCGACGAAATGACAACAACAGTCTACATAGAAAACTAAAGATTGAGCAACACGAACACCACAAATTCGATGGCCGAATTTGCCAGTGGACTCTTATAGGAATTATTGGCCATAAATAAGGATTTTCAAGTTACCATTTCTTTTGCGTATTAGCTTATTTACTTGAGAACTATAATAGATAGGGAAAAGCTCTATATAGCAAAAGTAACCAGCAAAACAAGATCTCCAATTAAGTCAATAAAGTAAAAATCATCAGTCAACTCCTTATATAGGGTTATTGCTCCCCCAAAAAGGATTTTCATCTATTTTTTTTGTGTTATGGGCAAACACCTTAGTACATGTAACAAAAGAGAAACATCAAGCAGCAAAAAATATCAGCAGGACAAGATCTACAAATAAGTCACATAGCTGAAATTGTCGATCCACTCCTCAAAGGATGTATCTTTGATAAAACTATAGTAGAGAGAAACTATAAACAACAAAATTTATCAGAAAATACGTGACTTATATTCTATATAGTTAATAATATTAGAGTGCCAATTGTTGAAGTTGCACATAGTTTCAGTTAAGCGAAACAGGCTTTTTAGAGCCTTTTATTAACAGTTCCTCTCTATCTCCAAGTGTAATATAATAGTTTTCAAAGAAAAACACAAATATGTTTAAAAATTCCCAGTCAAAGGCGATAAGTCTTTTAAGGAGTAGATTAAAAATTAGGTCGTGTTGAATATTTTGTAGATCGTGTCCAGCTAATTATTTTTGCTATTTACAGTTTCTCTCTTTTTGTACCTATAATTTCGACAAAAATCACAAATATGGGTAAAATCACCATTAAAGGGAAATAACTCCTATAAAGAGTCGATTGACGATTTCAACTATGTGACCTGTTTGAAGATTTTGCTCTGCTGATCATTTTAGATAGTTACAGTTTTTATCTATTTACTATAGTTTTGGCAAAATAAAAAACACACACAAATATGGATAAAATTGTCATTCAAGGGCTAGTATCTACCTATTATAAGGAGAACAATGACAATTTCGGCCGTGCTTTCGTTTTAAAGATCTTGCCCTGCTGATCGCATGTTGAAACATATTTACCTTTAAATGATGTACAACTATATTGAACCCTTTTGGGGTCAGACCTTTAACTTTCTTCCTGCGAGTGAACTGGCATGCAATCTTTTTGTTTGTTTTAATTGAAAAAAAAAATATTCAGTTATAACATGGAAAATATTTGGAAAATCCAGTCATCAGACATTAAAATCATACAGTTGATGGACGTAATTCGAACCATTCTATCAAGCTAGCTTGCTTTCAACTTGGTGAAGATAGGTTAATCACAAGCCTAATCCTAATAAAGTTAAATGGCAGGGTTAACCCTCATGATAGGACATCTTGGGTTTTAGAACTGCACAAAAATCAGACAATTTTAGAGCTGTATTAAAAAATCCGATAGACGACCACAGATGGCTCATTTTTCAAATAGACATTTGTACGAGATCCAGGATATTTCCGCCAATCAATACGCAGTAATCAACAAAGCAAGTGAAGGAGTGTCCAATGAAAGTATTCTTGCCCACTTTTCTTATTGTTGAAATATATCCAGAAAAAAGGCTAACACTGAGAAACAAACGACACACAAGAAGTCGCAAAATGACGAAGAAACCCTCGCGGTACTTTGATCGATATAAC